CCACCTTCCCATTTACAACTGAGAAATAATGTTCTTATATATTTTACTCAAACTTTAAGAGAAGGCTTCTCTCTAATCAGGGATGCACTGTTTCTTCAGCTTAACGGCCAACCACTAATTACCTTAACTCTACCCACAGGGCTGCTGCCACAGTCTTCCTCTCCTTTTGTAGACTTCAGTGATTTCAGCTTGGCTCTTTTCTCTCCATCAAATTCTAGCTTCCACCAGGATTCTTCATCTCTTAACCCCTCTCTGTTCTCCATCTGCTGCTCCTGGCTGCTCCTGCTGTTCCAGCTTCTTATCTCTCACCCCTTCAGAATTTCTTTATGTCAATCCCTCTAGGAATCTCTTCCTATTTTCCCCAAACTGTCTGACTCCTAATCACTGCTGAGAAGCCACACCCTTCAGCTGATTGGCAGGTTCTCACTAGAATTCCAAAACTCCATTGACCTATAGCTATATGTCAGCATGCACGGGGGATAGAGCTATAATAAATTTATTATACCAATAAGTTTGAATGGATTATTCAAAAACAGACCTATCACATTCTGACCTTTGCATTTCTGTTTAATTGTATAGATGGATAGACAATTCATTACGGTCAAAGACCAGCTCACATAACATAACACAATAAAAACCGCGTTCATAAAGATAAAATATATAGTCGGGGCAGATTGCAGCAATAGCTCATGAGTTAAAATTGAGATATATGCATACACCCGTACAACTGAGATTTGGGCTACCATAAAAAATTGACCCTGAGGCACCCCAAAGGGCAACTTCAGCATTTCCCTAGTAAGCTATTTTATTGTGGAGGATGATCTGTGCCTACAAATCTGGGCACAGAATCTGGCTACCAGCCAGGTCGTCTTATGATCTTTGCCTAAGAGGAGAGAATTAAATTTAGACTTGTCTGAAAGATCGGCGAGCTTCTTCAGCAAAGGATCAATGGTGTCTCTACGAATCTCAACATAAAAAAGACATCTAAAAAAATAGGAGGCTTCCTATTTCCCCTAATGGGCAGGCGCAAAGTCTCTGGTTTAATTGTATAAAAGGTGTGTTCTTTAGACAGCTGCCCTCACTGAAGTCTTCCAAGTTGCAGCATCTTTTTTTCCAGCAACAGTATCAGTTTAATTTATATTTTGACACACTGCTAGCTGAACCTCAAAAAAATGCATTCCACTAGCTTCACTTGGAGTAAAAGACCAATTCCCACCCCCACCCTCATTTGGACAGTTAATGTTTACAATCAGAATTTTTAAAGAGAAGCACATATTTTACCTTTATGTTTTCCTCTCAGATACATTTTCTTCACAGCTGCACTTGAAGCATCTTCATGTGATAGGCAAAGGGAAACAGCTGGATGAGGATGCTGTGGACAATGCTGGTGGTCCTTCTGGTCATTATTTCTACCGCATCCATTACACTGCTTCTAAGCCAGCACCTGAATGCTCGCTTGTTGCTAGCGTGGATTGACTGGATATCTCACCTAGTGAACTTCTCCCAGTGCATCATGGGCAGCAGGTGAGTCTGGAGACAGAGAGGTAGCCAACCCAGAGCATACACTCCAGCTGGACTTGTGCACATGCAGAAATATTGCTCTTTTCGCCTGGAGCACACTGGTGCTGCATTGCAGGATATGTTTGGGTGGGTGGACAGCAAGCAAGAACTAGGCAGAGCAATGAGCAAGCAGTGGCATGATGTTGAAGGACAAAGCTAGGTGTGCCATATGGTCTGCCTTGCAGCACCTAAGTTTGCCTGCTGCCCCCAGTATTGGAGCCATTGCCAGTGCTGAAGAAGTAAGATGAAGATGAAGTAAGATGATGCCACCCATAGTGGGTGGGATATAAGTAATAGAATTATTATTATTATTATTATTATTATTATTATTTATTATTATTATTTTGCTGGTTGCTTTTTCTGATACTCAGATTATGCTCTTGTATTGTATTGCTATAGATTAATATGGATTATCAGTGGATTGTTTAATTGTGCATCTGTTATTGTGAAATGCTTCAATTAGCCTATTATTTATGATTATTTTCTTTTTGTTATATCTTGCAGCTGTTAGTCAATTATGTAAAAGGGTTCATGACATCATGCCTTGAGCATGGTTTACTGTGGAAAAGTGGCATAGAAATAAATGTTGGTGGTGATTATAATGATGATGAAGGTGAAGATCGAAGATGAACAACCAGGTTTGTCAGTTTCTGCATGTGAAAATAAAAACAGGAGGAATGACTTCACCCACCTGACTTACTATTTTCCTGTGCCCTGCTTTGCCACTAGAGGTCAGTACACACTTCTTTTGAAACCGATTGTGAGCCCTTGTTAATTTTTCTTCAGCACTCTCACTTCATATTTACACTTCAAAACAATTTCCCCTGTTAGCCCGGATGTGTGCAATATTTCCAACCACAGGAATTTCCCCCTCCCTCCCTTCTCTCTTGTATCATTAAAAACTACAGGTATTTTGGAAACTACTGATTCACTGGAGGGGGATTCAAAAACAAAATTCAAAATTAAGGTGCCTTTTATTATGATCATCTAAGGTCAAACTACACATTGCATTAAGAATTTGTTTACAGTGTGTTTAGGACTGGTCAAATCTGTTTCTTAACAACAACATATCCAGATTAGGACCGTGTCCCCAAGTGTATTTTGCAAAATATTAGTGGAGTAGTTAGCAAATGACTGGTCAAATCTGTTTCTTAACAACAACAAACCCAACCCAGATTAGGGCTGTGTCCCCCAAGTGTATTTTGCAAAATATTAGTGGAGAAAGGTAAAGGTAAAGGGACTCCTGACCATTAGGTCCAGTCGTGACCGACTCTGGCGTTGCGGCGCTCATCTCGCTTTATTGATCGAGGAAGCCGGCATACAGCTTCCAGGTCATGTGGCCAGCATGACTAAGCCACTTCTGGCGAACCAGAGCAGCACACGGAAATGCTATTTACCTTCCCGCCAGAGTGGTACCTATTTATCTACTTGCAGCTGACATGCTTTCGAACTGCTAGGTTGGCAGGAGCAGGGACCGAGCAACGGGAGCTCACCCCATTGCGGGGATTCAAACCACCGACCTTCTGATCAGCAAGCTGCACAGTGGCCACCCGCGTCCCTACCAGGAGAATCTAGTCTGCCTTCTGATCGGCAAGTTCTAGGCTCTGTGGTTTAACCCACAGCGCCACCCATGTCCCTTTAGTGGAGTAGTTAGCAACTTTATTTGCAATAAAAACTTCACCTCATTTTTCACTTAAGAGAATGCAGCTACCAATATTGGAAGGAGGTTTTAATTTTTCATACATTAGTTTAAATCATAAAGCACATGTATTAGCATGTACAAATACACACATAGGAAAGTGATACCATTGTCCGTGCAAGGAAAGAAAGAGGAAAGTGTAGCTGAAAACCCAGCTGCTCTTAAATTAAAACTACATTAATGAGCCAGGCATCCTAGCTCTAAAAGAAAGAGCAATAAGCACCCAAGCCCTCTCTTTGTCCCAATGGTTGAAGATCTGAGGGTGCTACAAGCAGGGAGGGTTTTTGAGCAGAGCTTGGCTCACACTGTGAGTGTGCTCTGAGAACTGGATGTCTGAAGTATTAATACAGCATATATGGGTCAGCAACTGGTGACATTTGGGCCAGATTCAGCCCTCTGAGCGAAGCTATCTGCCCTCCCCACTGCTACTGAGGCTATGCTAGAATAAGAAAAGCATGAATGATGTCCATGCTATGAAGACTTATTAGCAGTTCATGGGGGTGTGGTGGGGAAGAAGTCTTCAGTTGACCAAGTGCAAGACCATTTTTATTGGCTATCAGTTCAAATTACTGGTTGGCAGAGCAATGCAAAGAAATACCTACGCTGTCAACTTGATTGTTGAAGCTGTATCTACCTGCATTTTTGTTGCGCTGTCAGAAAAAAATTAAAGCCTTTCCAAAACAATCTGCTTGAGGCTATTTTGAGTTGAGCCTCTTGTGATGCCATCCCATAGTTACTAGCAGAAATGGTACAATTACAGAGAAAGATGGATTCACATTACCACACTCCCCCTCCCCCCAAAATAAAATTCCCTACTTCTCTAATTACTGTGAAGAATGAACTACTTTACACCACATGACAAAATTAGTTGGTCTGAGAGATAAAAAAAAGATTCTGTATATTATAGGGGTATTTATTTCCTGAATTACAAGGAGGAGGCAAGTGATTCATGTGAGGTTTTCACATGCCTTAGTTGGATCAAGCCATGAACGAGTCATCTCAAATCAGATCAGGGACACTCTAATGTCCTGAGTTGTTTATGGACTTAGGTATCCCAAAACACAGTGTTTTGTAAAAATTGAAGCAAAGCTGACTAGGAGAACACCCTGACTTCGAGTGGAGGGAAGCTGGATAAGTGGGAGGAGCCATTTCTTTTTAATTAATAGATATAGATTGCAACCACAATGAATTATTTTCCTAGAGCACTCCAATCAAAGTGATTTGTGACAGGGATTGAAACTATTTCCCCCCCATTACTTTTTTTTGGGGGGGGGGACTGGTATGTTCCCTAAACACTAGCTGTGGCTTACATAGCCTGAGTAACAGCAGGTAATTGGTGCTTTACTGAATAGTGTATAAGCCTTCATAGCATCCCTGATTAATAGGAACCCGACCACACACCTTAGGCCCACATGAAGGCAGTACCTTAGCTGTCAGGAGTCCATACCCATTTCCACCCAGAGGGGTCCTCCAGGCAACACATGGGACATAAGACTATCTGCTTGTGATTTACAAAACTTGTGTTCTTTATTGCCTACCTGAATTCAAAAGAAGCCATTTCTCATTGTGGCAATACACATTCCTTGGTTCATGGGACCTTGCAAACTTGAAAACCTTGTGATGTTATTATTCCTTAAGTTCAAGTCTCCTCTCATCACATTTTGTGTGTGTGTGTGTGTGTGTGTGTGTGTGTGTATCTTTCTATAACACATCTAAATATATTTCCTTTGTTTTCTTGCAGCCCCTATAAATCCCATTCTCCAATCCAGAAAGTTAACTCCACTCCAAGTGGCACTCATTTCAAAAGCCATTCAAAAGAAATGCAGAGAAAATGGTCCAGGAACCAATATAGACTTAGAAATTAATTATTGGAGATCTGCAAACACTAGCTGAAATAAGCACCACTAGCCTCTCGTTTATTCAAAGCCCTTCTCAGCTGGAGACTTACGGATTAAGAAATCAGCGTCACTTGAGATATGCAACTCACCAGGGTATCTCATTTGCTTGGAAAGAAATGTTCAGCAACCAACTGCTTTTGCTTGCACTAAACAAATCCATAAATAAAGTTGTTTTTTGCCACGTACCCAAATTGCTTGCTTGGCCTGGGTGTCTTTATCAGCTCCTAATCAAAAGAATAAAATAAAACTCAAAGTTAAAATAGAACACACCCTGGTATTTCAGGTGTGACCGTCAACATTTTCCATATACATCAGTTCTCACATATCTTTAAAATCCATTAAAGATGCAGAATTATGGAACTCCACCCACTTCGCTATTATCTCCTTTGACATAATTCCTTACTTGTTTTCTTTCTTTTTTTGCATTTATCTTTTTATTAGAATGTCAGCAGATAACAAGTAATGTGTGCTGGACCTGGGGGGGGGGGTTACCGAGAGGCGTGGTCAGAGTCCGGTGACTGTCCACCAAAGGTGAAGTGGGGTCCAAAGCAGGAAGCCGGGTGTGGTCAGGAACTCCGGAAGAACAGGTCTGGGTGCTGGCAAACAGGTTTCCAATGATGTTGCTCCAGCAACCTGGGACCGGGCTGACTGGCCTTTATCTTCTCTGAGGCCAGGGGCGGTCCCGGCCCACAGGTGACCCACCTCTCCTGGCTTTAAGGCGAGCACTCCTCCTAAGAGAACCCAGTTCCCTCCGCCTCTCTGCCCTGAGCCTCTGCAGCTCAGGAGAGGCTGAGGGTTACTGGACCCAGGGGGAGGCTCACCTTCCCCTGACAGGGCTGGGAGAGGCGCACCTGTAGGCAATGGGTCCTCAATCACCTCCGGAGCCAGAGTGGATTCATCTGGTGTCTGCTCCTGAGGATCCGGCATAGGTGCAGGCGCTTCAGAATCAAGGCCCTGCCCCAGCTCAGCTGGCCCTGGAGGCGGGGACTCCTGTGCAGGCTGGGATTCCTCTGGTTCAGCCTCTGAATCAGACTCCCAGGCCATCACATAATGAGATCAACAGATATGCCAAGCAGGATTTTGTTTTTCTTTTCATGCATTATCTGTTGCATTTTCTACCACATAGCAAGCACTGGGAATACACAATGAACCCATGCAGAAGCCCTGCCTTGAAGGAAGATGGAGTCATTCAAATCCCTGGTGACAAACAAGCTTGCATCTATTGTTCCAGCAGAACTGAGAAAACAGCTTCCTTTCCAGGCTGATGAATTTTTGAAAAAGACTTACACTAATTCTGCGTATATGCAGTCATCACCACTTGTAGTAAGGTGTGCAAGTATGTCGTACTGGGAATAATTACACAAGAAGAAAATGTTAAAGCAAGAACCAACCCCAACAGTGGGTCTATATAGATCTACTCAGAGGTACGTCTCCACCCCCATCACTCAGCTGGGACATTGAGGTCTTCCTCCAAGGGTCTTCTGCTGGTTCCCTCACTGCAAGAAGTGAAGTTACAGGGAACCAGGCAGAGGACCTTCTCGGTAGTGGCACCTGCCCTGTGGAATGCCCTCCCACCAGATGTCAAAGAGAACAACAACTACCAGACTTTTAGAAGACATCTGAAGGCAGCCCTGTATTGGGAAGTTTTAAATGTTTGATGTTTTATCGTGTTTTTACTATTCTGCTGGGAACCACCCATAGTGGCTGGGGTATAAATAATGAAATTATTATTAATAATAATTGAAATTACTCCCATAGTCCCAGTTAACAGTGTAATTTACTTCTGGTTCCTCTTGGGTCTAACTCCTAGGTAGGCAGGGATAGGACTGCATTCTAGTTGTTGGGAAGGGCCAAAAGTAACTAACAATGAAGTAAATGGAACTGTCCCAGGTGCTGAATGAAGGGAATGCTTTGCTCACGTAATTTGTGTATTTCAAAAACAACTTTGAATGGTGCAACCTTCTTTTCTACAGAAAGCCACAGCGTCAGCTCTTGTTAGACGCTATTGTTCAGTGCAGCATAGTGACTCACAATTTAGTGGAAAGCACTAGTGTATAGTTGCTTTAACAAAGAAGAAACATTGCAGAGATAATTCAGTTCTTTCAAATTTCAGTAGTTATCACCGCTTGCGTATTTCATTGTGTAACGTTTCATATTATGCAACCTTTAGATGTCTGTGTTGTTCATTCATGCAATGCAACTACTGTAAAAGAAAAACAATCAGCTTATTTGTCTCTGAAATGCAGGTGCTATGTTCGTGATAGCTGAACGTACCTAAGACTGTAAATCAATTCATAGTTTTCTTTACCAGTAAAAAGTTTTAGCACTTGGGCTTCAGATCAAGATAAAGTAGCCTATTAACAAGAAAGACTAGATAAAGTGAGCAATTTCAACAGCTACAGAGCTATAATCTCCAGCGGGTGAAAGTAAGGTAATATTACTGGACCTCTTTAGTCCAACGGCATCTAGCTGCCTTTAATAGATAGCTGGAGCCTATTTCATTGTCTCTGAGAAAAAAAGGTTTCATCAAAATGACACAACAGTTTCTTGGGTCTTTTTATCCTACAGGTTATAACCACCTGCTCCCATTCATGCCCTCTCAGTTGTGATGCCCCTAACTTCATTGTTTGCATCTCTTGAAGCTGCTTTTTGGAAAAAGAAAAGGGAGGGAGACATGAAACCCCCATTTCATTCATGAAAGGTGTCAAGATGACATTCCACTGGTGACTCATAGAAGAGACTGTCAGAAACGGACAATGATTGTGAGTCTATGAGCTGACATTAGCCAGTGTTTTATCAGTGTTGTATCAAAGCATACAACTATGGTAGAGGAAGAAACCTGATGTATATGTTTTGCACAGAGATTTTTATTTTATTTTATTTTAATTTAATTTTTGCAAATAAAAAAACCACCAAAGGATTCATAACACTGAATATAACCAGTACTGAATGTTCAGCCTTTATTTATGACAGTGCTGGTTTTGTTTTTTTTTTAAAAGCAATTTATTGGATTTTACAATAAGAATAAATGTAATAAACAATGTAACATTTGTCTTAACATAATTTCACATTTTCTTTGGACTTCCTCACATCTCCCGCTCCCACCTTCATCATTATAACATTTTGTCAGCAATTTATCATCTTATTTAAGTTCTTATATCTCTTCAATATTTCATAATCTTAAAGTTCTCGTAAAGAGTTAAACTTTCACAGTTTTTCTTATTTTCTTAAAAATTTCTAAGTTAAGTGGTGCTCAGTTATTTAGTCTAGCATCTTATTCAGCATTCAGTCAAATCACAATGTTTTTGTAGATAGTTCTTAAATTTCTTCCAATCCTCCTCGATTCTCTCTTCTCCCAGGTCACGGATTCTGCCAGTCATTTCAGCCAGTTGCATATAGTCTATCAGTTGCATCTGCCATTCTTCCAGTGTGGGTAGATCTTGAGTTTTCCAATGTTTTGCGAGTAGTATCCTTGCTGCTGTTGTTGCATACATAAAAAGTGTCTGGTCCTTCCTTGCCACCTCTTGGCTGACAATACCCAAAAGGAAAGCCTCTGGTTTCTTAGTGAAAGTATATTTAAATACCTTTTTCAGTTCATTATAAATCATTTCCCAGAACGCCTTCACTTTAGGGCAGGTCCACCAGAGGTGAAAGAACGTTCCTTCACACTCTTTACATTTCCAGCACTTGTTATCAGACAGGTGGTAAATTTTTGCGAGTTTGACTGGGGTCATATACCATCTATAAATCATTTTCATTACATTTTCTTTCAAAGCGTTACATGCAGTAGGGTTCTTTGTTCTCCAAATGTCGATCAAGTCCATATTGTCAGTCATTTCAAAAAAGGTTTTAGGTAGTCTGCCATCTTTTGTAACATTTTGACTTTGCGACTTGTCCATGTTAGTTGACACGACCCCGTTCATGTCTCCCATCATTATGATGTTGTTGTAATCCAGATGATCCAGCATTGTCCCCTGCAACTTCTTGTAAAATTCCGATTTCCCTTCATTGGGCGCATAAATTCCTAATATCAGCAGTTTCTCTCCTTGATATTGTATCTCAATAGCCAAAATCCTTCCATGTTCATCTTTAAATAGAAATTTAGGTGACAGGCTCTCTTTTGCATATATCACTACTCCTCTCTTCTTCACTTTGTCCGACGAAATAAATTCCTGGCCCAATCTTTTATTTATTAACACTTTTCTGTGGAGCCTCGTCACATGTGTTTCTTGTAAACAAATAATGTCCAATTGTTCTTTTTTTAATATATGAAATATTTTCTTCCTTTTCTCCGGAATATTACAACCATTAATATTCCAGCTCAACAGTTGCAGAGACATCCTGGATCTGTCTGGTTATTTCTCCCGGGGTGGTGTCTTCTCTGGGTCTTCAAGTTCCCCAGGTGGAGGTATTGATGCTGGCTTTGCCCCAGGCCCGGAAGGTAGTTCAATTCCTTTATGTAGGTCCTCTCCGTATGTAGCCAGAAATTTATCTCTCTCTTCCAATGTTCTAATTTTAACCTTTCTCGCTCTAAAGGTAAAAGATAATCCTTGTGGAAATTCCCACCTGAATGGAATTGCGTTGCTCCTTAATAGTTTAGCAAGTTCAGAATAGGCGGCTCTAAGGTCCAACAGTTGTCTTGGGATATCTTTATATATCTCAATTCTTCTATCCAAAATCTCCAGTGACTTTTCGTAATGTAGACCCAAAATCTTATCCCTTTCCTCCTTCGATCTCAATGTAATCAAACAATCCCTGGGCCTCTCCTTCTTTATAAATCTTCCAAGTCTGAAAGCTGACACAATTTTAAAGTCCTTTTCTTCCAAATTCCAGAACTTGGAGAGTTCTTTGGTCAAAAACTCAGTTAGATTTCCTTCTTCTGCCTCTTGTAATGATCTAATCCTCAAATTATTCTCACGATTTCGCAGTTCTATCATAGAAAGATAAGTCTGATGTTCCCCAACTTGTTTAGTGAGTGGTCTTACCTCTTGCTCT